CCCAGGTTTGATTCTGGTCAAGGGCATGTACCTGGGTTGCGGGCACATCCCCAGTAGGAGATGTGCAGGAGGCGGCTGATCGATGTTTCTCTCTCATCGATGTTTCTAACTCTCTATCTCTCTCTCCCTTCCTCTCTGTAAAAAATCAATAAAAATATATTTTAAAAAAAAGAATCAACCAATGAATGCATAAATGAGTAGAGCAACAAATCGATATTTCACTCTCTCTCCCTTTCTCTCTTTCTCAAATCAAAAAATAACACATTTTTAAAAATTACCTAGTTTCTAAGAATTTATCCCTAATTCAATTTCAAATTGTGGACACACAGATACATGAGGTATTATATGGCTTTGTTAATATAGATGGTCAGGGAGCACAGGCTTTGGCCAAAATGGCACAGGGGGAGGCTTTTATACTGAGCATGCCAAAAGCTAGAAAGATAAGTGATAGGGCCCAACTGCCCAAAGCTAGTATGGTAATTATATAGAAAAAGCCTCCCTCTCCTCCCTAGCCTTATAAGAACCACAAGATTGAGCAGGAACTGAGGATGGTCTTAGAGACACATATTCTCCCAGGTCATGGCACCTGAATAAACCTCTTTCCTTTAACAGGTAGTCGGGCATGCATTTTCAGTTATAGTTTTTGGGGACTCCACCAGGAGTGCTTGGACCTTGGTAAGTCCTGGAGGGCCTGGGTTGGGGTCCCAGCTGCCTTTTGCAAGTTGATCCTGAGAGATGGACTGAAGACTATGTACAACATTTAGGGCAAGCACTAGCAACTCTGATGAGCCCTTATACCGTTCCAGCTGGGAGACTGAGTCTTACTAAAGACCTGGAAGTTAAGGTCCTGAACAGCAGTTAACCAAGCAATGGACTGGTCCCTATGCAGCCCTGCTGACAACACACTTGCACCTAAAGCAGTGGTTCTCAACCTGTGGGTCACGACTCCTTTGGCGGTTGAACGACCCTTTCACAGGGGTCGCCTAAGACCATCATGCATATCAGATATTTACATGACGATTCATAACAGTAGCAACATTACAGTTATGAAGTAGCAACGAAAATAATTTTATGGTTGGGTCACAACATGAGGAACTGTATTTAAAGGGCCAGAAGGTGGAGAACCACTGCCCCGAAGCTCACAGGAGTCAAGCTGTTACAGAGCAGGAAAATTTTTAGGCCTGCTTAATTCCCTAGCCACCTCAGCAGCCTGACAGCCTGTGCAAAGTTTCTAGGAACTGACCTCCCACACCTGAGCCACGGCCCACAAAGAGCAGACAGATCAAAAGTAAGAACAGTCCTGACCTTTGAGTGACCCAGAAATGAATAGCAGGAGGATGATGAGTAGCTTGGCTAAAACGACGCAATGAGCTTTTGTAACTCGGCTTTGCCTGCTATGGGAACCTGAGCACGGCTGTAGTTGTCCCCTTTAAACATTGGACTCTGCAGATGGTCGGGGCTGCTTCGCTCTTGGGCTTCCCGAGTGGAGGAGCGGACACTGGCCAGTCAGTAAAGGCTCTAAATTGTAATCCTTCTGGAGTTCTGGTCATTCTGTCACTCGCGCTCCACAACAAAGCCTTGGGTCCACCACACACAGTCAAGACACGCACTACCTGAGGAGGACTTAGATTTGGCTGCTGCTGATACTGCAAGGGAAAGCTGGGCCCGCACTTCTGAGGGAGATTTTAAATTCCTCTTTCGGAAAGGAGCTGTGCCTTTCAGAACTAAGTGACGATGTTACTTCTCATTTTATGAGTTTTTGACAATTGTTATGCTTTATGCCCACGTTTGGACTGATAAGACCTTTGTCCACACTTCCCAGACAGGGGCTTCCTGGGCAAACTTATTCCACTGTGTGGTGTGTCATCAGGATTAGGTTATGGGGATCCTTTACTCTCCCAGTTTCTGATGTCATTACAATCCCCCCTGCACTACTAGTCATACACCTCACCTAGCACTTGTCTGCACAATAGGCCTCACTTTTGAAGCCCGTCTGTAACGCCACCTCTTGAAATACGAAGCAATCTACCAGCTTCACTTGCTCAGCAGTGCCAACCTCTACACACCACACATGCTACCTTCCAATAAAGCAATCTGTCTCCCTCATGTAAAGAACTTCCCTCCATTCTTTTTCCTTTAGTAGATAGCAAGAACCTCTGGACCTGGAGCTAGGTCAGTCTACACCCCTAACAGCAGGAGAAACTACAGAAGATGAGACCTCCACCCATTTACTCTTATAAGATTACAAGGGTCCAGTGTTTTA